AATACGTTATTTTTGCAAGGTCATTGGCGTTTTGCTTTTTCCTTCGGTTGGGCTAGAAGTTTTGTGGAACAGTAAATTATTGTTTTTGGAATTGCGTCTAGTGAGAAGATTATAACACCAATTTTGCCACAAACGGATCGTCTGATCTATGCAGACGACCTCAAGCTATGGTCAGAAGTGTCCAACCTCAAAGACTCCGACCGATTACAGGAAACGTTTGATATACTGCACTCTACTCCTTCGATCTCAAAACTACTCGTGACCCATTAAAGAAAACTGCTGCGGCGAACAGGGTGTGGGATGTCATAAGATCATTAGTATGAGGCCACAGATATTCAGACTTTTCTTAATCTCCCATATCCGTCTAATCCTTGAATTCGGACTTCCAGCAATAGCCCCACTATCGAAGCATAAAAGTGACCAGATCGAACTTTGTCTTTGGGCTTCGCGAACACCCCTATTCTACCTCATCTTTACTAGGTGCATTTTACGAGGAGAACCGGGAATCGAACTGTCTATAGCCAGTTCTTTCTGCTAAAACTTAACAGTTCGACTCGAGGTCACAGCTGGAAGCTGTTCGATCCGAAGAGGTTCAAAGTCCGTTCAGAAGTTACTCTCTCTACTCCAGTAGTTAAGGATTAGAACTGACTTCCGGACCCGTTTGTTAATGCGCAGTCAGAAGTGAGCTTCAAACGTTTGTTAAACACTTACCTACTGAGCACTCCAGAACCCTGAGTGATGTCATAACAACCACCTGCAATCTTCGGAAGACCAAGAAGTAAAGAAGCTGACACGGGACCTCCCTTCTGCTCTCTACCACTCGATGGACAATACTTGTGCGGAAAGGCTTGAAATGTGTGAATATTTTATATGCCTTGTTCTCGAACACTGCAGGCCGCGTCAGGTTTCATGGCGACTTATTAGATGTCTTTCCAACAACAAGTGGCGTTCTTCAGCGTTGTCCAGTTCCCCATATTTGTTCAACTTCGTCATAGACATTCTCATGGAGTGTTTCCTTGCGGAGTCTCACAATATAGGCATTAAGGTGCTGCCTGGTGAAAAGCTAGCTTATCTTGATTATGCGGACGATGTGGTCCTGCTTTTAAACAATGTGGCTGCCCAATCAATCCTGAATAACATTAGCATGATGGTTCCATCGTTTGGCATGCGCTTCGCACAGGACCTCCAGCCACTTGATGACGCCATTACCCTTGATGGCGTAGAACTCTACTTGATCAATTCACCTATCTTGGCAGCTGCATCAGCTGCCTGATCATTACAAAAGCGCTTCCGAATCAGACGCCCCGGCGAGGATAATTCATGAACGAGTCTTTGGCGAATGATCTCAATATTATTCCATAGGGACGAGCAGGGGATCAAATTCCTTCCTGCTTGTCGTCGTGGCAAAAAACTAGACTAGTCCAAGGTTCACCCTCTGAAAATCAACTATCGGGACGAAGAGGAATGCCTCGTTAACCAGTCCGGCTCAAGAATTGGAGAAGGCAGGAGCAGTAGGCAATTACCGAAAGCTCTTCCAGCTAATCCGCACCACTGGTTTCAGAAAACCAGGCGTCTGTGAGACAATCAGAAACAGCGCGAATGCACTGATACACAATAAGGAGCGCCGTATGGCTCGTTGGGCGGAACACTTTCAAGATCAATTCAGCTGGCACCCTGCTCCCGGACCTCTTCTTACTCAGGTGATGCAGGACGAGCCATGGACGGTTAGTTTAGAGCCTCCGTCAGAGGCCGAGGTCCGAAACGCGATCACAGCCCTCAATCATTTTCGTGTCGCTGGCCCGGATTACCTCACACCTGCACTATTTACGGATGGTGGTGAGGTCCTCTGCAAAGCACTGACCTCCCTATTCGAACGTATCTGGAAGGAAGTGTCCCGGCTAACTGGAGTGAATCGATTGCGGTGGCAATATACAAGAAGGGCAGTCGCACAGACTGTTCTAACCACAGGGGTATTAGGCTAACGCAAGTTGTGACAAAATTATTGGCCTCGATTCTGGTTCGTCGCCTCACTGCGGAACGGGAATCTCGGATTAGGGAAGAGCAGGCCGGTTTTCGCCCAGGACGTGGCTGTATAGACCATATATTCACTTTGCGGCAGGTGCTAGAGCAGCGCCACGCATACCGCTGACCGACAATAGCTGTGTTTCTCGATTTCAAGAGTGCCTTCGATTCAGTCGATCGATGCATTCTGTACGAAATACTTGCGCGGAAAGGTGTTCCCACGAAATATGTGAACATCCTTCGTGCTCTATACTCGAACACTACAGGACGAGTCAGGGTCTACGGTGACCTATCGGATAGCCTTCCGATCACAAGTGGCGTTCGTCAGGGTTGTCCGATTTCCCCATTTCTGTTCAATTTCGTCGTGGATTCTATCATGGACTGTTCCATGGGGAATCTCACCATGTAGGCGTTGAAGTGCTGCCTGGTGAAAGGTTAGTTGATCTAGATTATGCGGACGATATCGTCTTGCTTTTCGACCATGTTGTGACGGCACAATCAACACTGAATAGCCTGTCTAGAGTGGTCCCGTTGTTTGGTGTGGACTTTGTACCTTTAAAGTGCAAAATGTTGCTGCGGGACCACCAGCCACTTTATGACCCTTTGACCCTTGCTAACGAGGAACTCGAGGTGGTTGATCAATTCGCTTGGCAGCTGCATCAGCAATGATGGCGCATAGAAACTGACATCAGCTCACGTATTGCGAAAGCCAGAACTGTCTTCTTGAACCTGCGAGATCTTTGGCGACAGAATTGAGTTTCCCTTCGTCTGAAAGACCGTGTATACAAGACCACAGTGAGGGCCGTTCTGCTCTATGGTGGTAAAACTTGGCCCTTTCTGTCGGAAAACCTGAGGCGTCTTCAAGTTTTTAGTCATCGTTGTCTTCCAAGCAATACTGGTGTCGGATGGTACCAGCGTGTCGACAACGATGATGTGCCTAGGCGAGCACTCGGTAGTGATATTATTATTTATTATTAATATTTATTTGTTTAGTGCTGTTCTTGCTCTCTCCCTAGAACAACAAATGGTACTGAATAAGTTGCGTTGGTTTGGGCACGTGCTACGTATGCGTGGTCACCGCTTACGTAGGAGGGCCTTGTTTAATCTGCCATGTGTAGGGTGGCGCAAGCCTTGAGGTGGACAGAAGTTGACTTGGCAGCGGGAAATGAAGTCACTGACGACCAAACTGGGTGACGTTGGTCCGTCTTGCCTTCCGAGCTGGAGTCCACTTGACCAGCCTTGTACTTGGCTTGAGACTTTACAGTACATGGCTCTCAGTCGAAACCAGTGGCGCGTTTGTTCTCGTCTCATCGGATTGTTTGTTTAATGTGTGTTTGGTGCTGTTATCTGCGGGGTTATGGCTGATTATGATGCGTGGCAGTGAGAGCTGCAAGGAAGCTGTCTCGCCGATGCCGCCTTATCTTTGCACGTTAGCCAGCTGTTTGTGACGTTGTGTTGTTAACACATGGTGTAAGCGCCTTGACCCTGAATGTTTGCTTAAGGCATTAAGGTTTTCAGGTAAGTCACCCTTCTCTCCCTCTTATTATTTTTTACTTCATAGGTCATCATGGTTGTAGGGTAGGGAAGCATCAGTTCAAATGTCTGATGTACGACTGTTGTTGTGGAATGCCGGCGCGTCCTCGGAAGGGTCCCTCGCATATTGGAATTACTCTATGTTCTGAACAGCTTTTTTTAGAGGACTGAGTCAGAATGAGGAAAGATCTTACCGAGCTGCGAACCCACTGAGCGAAAGGACTAACCTGTCTGCCCATTGCGGATTTTTGCGTTTTGCGAAGAACTCCGAGAGCTGGATGAAGGCCAATCCGTTATTCATGGACCTCAAATATGAAAAATGGACTACGAGTAATACTTGTGGACGTGCACAGTCTTGGAATCAATCTAGATGGGACTCCACTCCACTAGCTACTGGACGTAATGGCGTTCAGCGAGACCTAGCTGTCGTCTGAGATTTCGGACTCAGGCTTATATTCCAGGATAACAACTATCTCGATCTGATTGCCCATACGGGAGGTCTGGAAGTGGATCAAGCCCGTACTCTAAGTTGATTGCAATAACGGTGATGCGACAGCAGTGTGATGGTGTGTTATACATGCTGCAGTATCGGAACTCAGTGCTTGCTGCAATGTCGCATATGCTTGCGCTTGTACTCGATTCTAACTCAGTTACCGAGATTTGGGAATATATGCACAACTGGGCTCTACCCATTGGTAGAACATGAACTGACATTTATTGGACCGCCATCTTGTTCGCAATGCTAGCTTTGCTTTATTCACTGCCTACTGATGCATGTTGATCGCATAGGCATCACGACAGCACGTCTCGCCGACGGTTGGCTACCAAAAAACGATCATAGGTTTCATGCGGGCAATAGATATTGTAAGCTGAACCTCAGCTGCGTAGGACCGGGCTGGAGACCTACAGATTATTAGCAAGACACCCTATCCACTTATCCACCGGCCGTCCACGAATGTTTCTATTATGGTTTTGATGGCGCGACTTTGGGGGTGCTAATATATGCCGATTTCCCTTGTTTATCAGCTCCGTTTATTGGATCTTTGGGAGTCGGAATTCTTTTATTGTTCTGTTTCTATTATATTTAGTTGAATTTTACACTTGCTTCCTTATTCAGTTTATAACAACTGATTTCAACACCAACTATTATCTGCCAGAGTTTATCTTAGTGTCTTCAATCTGCACCCTACGTCCAAACTCTCTAGGTCTGACATTGTTCTGGAAGTGGATTATTTGATTATAGCAGTATATAGCCATTATCCAACCATTTTCTTTCCGATTGACAGGTCTTCATCCCCAAGGTCGCATTTTTTCTATTGCTCAATCGTTCCACAATTTTTGTTCATGTTCTCCTTAGTTCCACCAACACTACTGGTTGGCAGTTTAGGTGTATTCAGTACTCATAATATATTGCGCTTCAGCTCACTCGGTTAGTTTTCTATTTCATGACATTAAACCATCTTCAAGCTCGTGCATATGAATTCCTACTGGTTAAAAAGACGGGCGTGCAGCAGAATGTTGGACTCATTCAGTTTAACCGCCCCAGAGCACTAAATGCTTTGTGTGTTGAACTGATGAAGGAAGTTAATGAAGCGCTGGACGTTTTCGAATCAGATGATATCGTTAAAAGCATTGTTATCACTGGCAGTGAAAAGGCATTTGCCGGTAAGTCATATCTGCTTTTGTTTGTTCTACTAAGCCCCTTAATATACTTGGGTGCGTTGATCAGTAAATCTCAACAACTCCTAGCTTTCAACTGCACTTCATTTTATACATTTGTATTGAAGTCTTGTTACCTCTTTTCCTTAAAGCTTTTGTTTCGTTTGATATAGTTTGCTTGTAGGTACTTTCTCTCTAGCAACCATATTCACAACCAAGCGCCATTAATGAAGGTTAGTGTCGCAATCATAAATTTGGGCATATCAACAATTTGCACTGCCATTCGCTATCTTACAACTATGATGGCGGGACGAGGACTGCTAAGATGGGGCGAAAAATCATCTTGTGTAAAAATCCGAATGTTCTTAGCTACACCTTATCAATACTCCGCATTCACAAACAGGCAGGTAAATGAAGTATGAGATCATGGATGTTTTTTGTTCTTACTACAATATCTAAGTTCTCCAGTTATCACTAGGCGAATTGGTTACATGGCACAACGGAAAGATACTTTTCGCCGCTTACTGGGATAGTCGAGTAATAGGTGGGCTTCTACAACCACCAACAATTTGCCCTAGGCACAGCAAATGCCTCTAGTTGGTACTCGGTTGCAGAGTGCTTATAACATACTGTGTCGGTTTCCGGGCAAGTACATCATGATCTGATTGAAAACCTTGGCGGATAGCAGAAACCTCTGAAGTAAGTGGATTAAGCGTCATCCGAAGCAGCTGGGTACTCTTCCAACTCGTCCGAAACACGGGCGAATAGTAGATTTCATTTGGGAAAACAGCGAAAAACGAGTTCAAATAATAACTCGTTCTCAAACACGGAGGGAAATATTCAATTAAACCATTCAGCTGGCATGCAGTGTTGACATCGTTTCCACGCAGTGTGTTGGGTTGTCTCCCACCAGGTAGACGCGAAATTGCTCTGATGAAGGTACGAGGAGCTCAAGCTGCTACTATCTTAACTGCTAGACGAATGAAACTCACTTAGGGCTGGTATAGTCAACACTATATGCGCTCAGATGTTTTTGCAGTCAGATGTTCCCAATGTCTAACGAGGCTAACACACGATGTGCAAGTTATCAAGGTTTAAAAAAAGGTCGTCAACAGTACGCCGGCACACTGTACCGGCACTTCGCTGCCATGCGACCACCACCGGTCGCGCCTAGGCTGATCATGCGGATTCGAACCGATGACATAAGGATTGCAAGCTGGAGTACAATCACTTCGGCTACCGGCAAACATCGAGGCGTTAGGTTTGAGGCAGTGGTTTCACAACGCCTGTGGCTGCTCGTTGATTCTCCAGTGAAGTGAATCGCGAAAGAAAAGCTGTCTTCCATCATCATCATTATATACGTTAGCTGCAGGTGGAAAACACCTCAGCTATTATGCCGCAATACAAAAAACAAGAAGAAAAAACAACGTACGCCGGCTGAGTCCCCAGTAACGGATGGACATCGTTCCGAAGAGCTAACAGCTGGCTATCGTGCCGCAAAAAGAGAATCATATTATGCCTAACGAATGAGTTCGTGATTGGAGGGGGGGCTAAGCAGGAGGGGATGGACAAAGGAACTCACAACACACGGCATTAGGGCCGGCTCCTAGCAGTATCAGCAAATGTGTCCAACCAAACGTGTTCCTCATCCTTAGGACCCTAGCCAGGCAGTCAGGATGTACCAATCGACACCAACTTCGAAGTGAGGGTTTTCATTTCTTTCGACTAAGTCATCACTTGGCCTCCCCTCTTCTTCCAACCGCACCCCCGGCGCGCAAACAATGCACGTCGCGGGAGTCGGTGTGCTGACATGCACCACACGTGGCCTAGCCATCAGAGCCTGGTGCGTGGTATAACGGTGCTGAGCGGTTCACTCGCTCTTCCTGCACCAAATACGCGAAGCCGAACATGTTCATTGGTCACGCGGTGCTCCCACCAGACATGAGCTAAGTTGCGGAGGCAGCGATGATCGAATATGACGAGCCTCTTTATGTCTGTCGACCTGATGGGCCAAGTTTTACAACCGCATAAGACAATTGAACAAACGGCTGCATTACAGACTGGTCTTCAGGGCGAGAGTGATGTAGCGTCTGCTCCACAGGTGGCGGAGATTAGCAAAAGCATCTCGAGCCTCTGCTATACGGTTCGTAATCTCAGCTCCAGTTCCACGGGCGCCTATATAGCTACCCAGGTACTTGAATTTCTGAACAGCTTCTAGTTTGTCACCACCAAGGGTCAGCGCAGGGGTGGGTCCTTGCCAATCTTGGAGAACTTTGCGCTTCGATGCAGCAAAGCATAGCGCAAAACGATTGACAGCCAGTGCTAATCTCTCCAGTGCAGCTTGGCACATCTGGGAGCTGTCACAGATGAGGGCAATATCATCCGCGTACTCCAAGTCAAGAAGTCGTTCTCCTAGGAGTAGATCAACACCTTCCAAGTCGTGTTTTGTAAATGCAATCTTCATGACTTCATCAATAGCGAAGTTAAAAAGGAAAGGTGACAGCGGGCATCCTTGTCTCACACCACTGGAGATATTGAAGAGCGGCGACAGCTTGCCGTAAGCCCTCACTCTGCCCGTGTTACGCGCGGATAATGCTCGGATAATATTTACACATTTCTCGGGCTCACCATTCATGAGTAGACAGTCCCAAAGTGCACATCGATCAAATGAATCAAAGGCACTTTTGATGTCGAGGAACACGACTACGGTGGGCCGCCAATATGTGTCGGTACTCCAACAGCTTACGCAAAGTGAACATATGATTGGTGTAGCCACTACCCCGACGAAACCCGACTTGCTCCTCACGAGCCTGGCTTTCAAGAGCACCAGTCAGTCTGTGAAGAATTATGAAGGCGATGGAGATCAGACTGATTCCTCTATGGTTGCCGCATTCCGAACGCGAGCCTCCTGTGAAGATGGGAACAATAACGGAGCGGCTCCAGTCGGTTGGACAGTCTCCTGCTCCCACAGTTTCACTAGTAATTCATTCAACAAGAGCAGAGCCTCCAAATTTGAAGAGGGCTGGTCTCGCGGCTTTGTTCAACTTCAACAGTCCGATCTCACGTTTGGCTTTGGGCGAGAGGGAGGATCCAAAGGAACAGCTCGGGGAGGAGGGCGATCACTAACCGGTGAGGAATCGGACAATTTCACCCGATTAAAATTACATTTCAAAATGCTCAGCCCAACGCTTCAAACGTTTAGACAAATTGTGGATAGGCTGTCCACATTCGTCATAAATTGTTTCACCAACACCAGGTCTCCTGCTACCCGTTTCCCGTATCAGACGGAGTAAATTTCGATGGTTACCAAGGGCACCGGCCACTTCCATCTCTGTTGCACGAAGAGATCACCAGGACTCGTGATCTATCCTCAGGCTAGCACGGAATTTTGCCCGAAGCTTTTTGCGAGTTTCATTGTGTTCGCTTTCAGCCGGAATATGCCGGCGAGCATCACTAAGTTCCAGAGACTGCGCAAAGACCCAATATCCATGTCGGCTGTTAGGCTTACCACATGAGGATTTGCTTGCTGCTAGTAAATTTTGGTGAACATGCGTTCAGTGATCTTCAGTTGTCTCCAGTGAGCGCTTACTCAACCCGCATATCAACATATTTGGATACGCATTCAGAACAGCTGGCTTCGCCAGTTGACTGGTGCCAATGCGTTCACAGCATCATCGTGAGCGTCCACCAAAGCGCATCCGCATGTCAGCACATACAAGTGCATGGTCGGTGTCCACATCTGTGCTCCAAATCGAGCGACAGTTATGGACGCAGCCTCTCCACCGATAACTGATTGCAATGTGATCGATTTACGTCCAAGGCTGGTGGGCGCCAAGTCACCCTCCGGCGGGTGCTGTGTCGGAAGTTAGTGCAAGAAATAAGCGGGCATCTTCAAATACACTAACCGCTCACCGTTATCCTTATCGTGTTGACCGCCCAGATGTAATTTATCAGTGGACAGCTTTCTTACTTGTGCTTTCAGATCCCCTGCCAGCACAACAGTGTCTTTGCTTCTTCTGGTGCGAAAGTGTTCGGTCAGTTGACGGTAGAAGTCGTTTTTTTACCGAATCATCGCTAGAGTTTGTGTGCACGTAGGCAGCGATGATGAATAGACACTTATTAGTCCCGCGCGACTTCGAAGCTTTGAACGAGCCAGCCAATCGGACCGCACACATCCGGCTACTTATTGGGATCCAATTAACCAGAGCAGCTTCAGTCCGAGGACTCAGGGCGATGCCAACACCGGCTTGGCCGGTGCTCGAAGCTGCATTGTCACCGGATAGGCGCAACGAGAAAATACTGCTGGTGTCACCTGAAGGAGGTCGCAGAGTGAACACAGTGCTCGAGTCTTGCAGACGGGTCTCCGATAAGTAGCAGATATCGATTGACAGGGTATCTAAAATTCGGGCACGTGCTGCATGGTAACCATGTGCGTACATTGAGGCATGCTAATCTGAAGGAGGATGAATGGCTCCAAATGGAAGCTGATGAACTGGGGTGGACCGCTTGGTTGGTTGGGCTTGTCGACAGGGCAAGAGTGATGCTCCGCGTTTGCATCTGAGTTGAAACTAGATGATAGATGCCTAGCAAGGCATGTTGGGGGAGGGCGAAGAATCGGGGTTGAAAACTGGGGGACAAAAGTGAAGTTGACACGGGACCATAATGGTGAAAAAGCCTAGGAGGGTGAATAAGAAGACGAGAAGGCTTGAGCAGTAGCGTCCAAATCCCTGTCCACTCTGCTCGATGCAGCAGATTAAGCGCCGTTTAGTATCCTCTGCGACGGCCAGAGTATCAGGAAACTATTTGAAGAAAAATTCATTATATTGCGTGGGCAGTATACTTTCAGGTTGCCCAGGCCTAAACAGGAGAACGATTACGGTTTTCAACCAAAGCCTTTGGTTCAAAAACCTGGCCGCAATGCATCGAGTTTGGCTTTGGGCTACAAGGAATCCGTTTTAAGGAATAAGAAGCCACTCTCATTCCAACCCCCGACCTGGAGGACCAGG